ATATAAGCACATGTTGAAACCAGATGTGCACTGTCTAAAAAGCTGTATAATCAGTTTTTCTCACTGTCTGACATTAAATCAAACTGAACCATTCATCTCTGCTGAAGCTAAGAGCATCATTACCCACGGTGAAAGGACATGGGCTGAAAGGCCACTCAGCATGGAAGAAGTCATTACTCCAAAAGTGACTTAAAAAGCCAGATTACTGTTGGTAAATGCACACAAGAATGAAGACTTTACTTTCATGTACTGTTGTTTGATGAAACCACACTGACAATCCACTGAATGAAAAGATCCTAGTAATTTAATGTACTCTGTAGGATGCTGCTGTGACACCTGAATTTTCCCTCTGTAGGACAATAAAGGCTATTCTATTCTATTCTATTCTATTCTATTCTATTCTATTCTAACTCTTTTCACTTTTTCTTTTCTTTGTAGTCTGCCATGTTGGACCTTGTGGATATATTTGGACCTTCATCTGAGCCACAGCCTCCCACCAGTGAGCGTTGGCCCACCATTCAGCCCCCCTGTAACACCACCTCCAACCCCTGGGACTCTGTAGGTGGGTGCTTTGTTACAAAAACACCCAGTATAAAACCTAAAGGCATTTTAGTCAGAACCTAAGCCTAAACCTAAATCTGACTTTACAGCAGTTCGGTCCAGTACGCCTGTGATTGACAGCCCCTGGATGGACCCTCCCCCCTCTTYTAAAACATCCAATCCCTGGACTTCCTGTGCCAACTCACACACAGACCCCTGGGAGGCGGCACAGGCACCATCCAGTCCTCCCAATAATGCCTGGGACTGCCCAACACTTGAAGGTACTTTGTGTTTTATAGATTAAGCATCAAAATGTCTCATTAAAATACAAACACAAATTAGTTTTCCACAACTTTTTAAACATGTGTATTGCTTTMTTTTGTGCTGTTTTAGTCAGTTTCATTTTTTCAAACAGACGGTGATGGGACAGATCCATTCGCTGCACAGGAAGAGGTGAATCTTCAGCAGGAGGTTCCCCGAGTGTCCCCCTCTCAGCCCGCCAGCCCAACAGGTAGAGAAGCTCTAGGAGTGAGAAGAACTGTGGATTGACCACAGCGGATCCTGTAATACAGTCTTAACGTTTTCCCCAGAAAAAAAATACTGAATAGGATTCTGATAAACCATTCATTCAAAGTGAAGCTGACATGGAGTTAAGAAATATAAATACTCAAGACGTTAGGAGGTCCTACAGCTTGGCTTAGGCAAACTGCATTCAGATTACCAAAAGTATGCAGATACATGAGGTTTATATTAATAATAGGGCTGTCAAATGATTAATATTTTTAATCTGATTAATCCCAAAGTAGCTGTGAATTAATCATGATTAAT